TCTTTTTGGCGAGCGCTTGTTTGTGCTTCCTTGATGGAGAAACTGTGTGATACCCCCTGGCCATGATGGATAGCTGTCCTGGAGTCATGCGTTTATTTATGGAGATCTTGGGTTGATTATAGACACGGGGTTTGTCAGGCAACAACGACAGCTTCATGAGGCGCGTGTTGGTTTACGGTTATATTTTTTTTATTATAGGATTTCTCTTCGAGGAGGGCGGCTGGGACATATGCCTACCTATTTTGTATTCTCAGCACACATTTGCAAGGATCGGCCGGATCACGAGTAGCCGAGCATGAGACTTGCAGTAGCATCATATTTGAAGAGAGGGGAGGGCGGGTGATATGCCATTGCACCGGTATGTATATATATATATTCATGTGCGTGGGCACTCTTGGACGGGGCGATTGGATACTACTATATGATATACCTAATAACATACGTTGTTTTGTTTCCACGCACAGTATCGCGTCGTATTTGCATCTCTGGGGAGGCAGCCGGATGCTACATGATGCACTTGATGACGATCATCATTTTCACGCGCTCACGGTACGACCTAGTATTTGCAACCAACGGCAATAGCACATGACACATGACACATGAACCATATGATACGGCCGATGAAACGGTCCCGGCGGGGAAGTGGCATGAGTCGAGTCACGGTCTGACGGACTGCCCAATGAGGTGCGGCTGATCGCTTTGTTCCGGCGCAGCTCGAGCTTCCCCGCATCGCCCATCTGGCCGTGTATTTATTTACTTATCTATCGGATCGGAGCCGTGTCTTGCATTTTGAATCAGTCTAAATCCATCCATCCATCCAATGCCGGAGATATCGGCCACTGGGTGAATTGATTTTATACTTGAGAAGAGGGACAGACTAGAGGGAGCAGTGCCCTCCTTCTCATCTCCAAATCGGTTCAATTTCCGAACCCACCTATTATTTGTATTGCTGTGACACTGCTATCCTTTTGGTTCTGTGCAGGATGCTGCTCGTCCGGCATATATTATTGGCCTTGTCGGCCATCTTCACCTTCGCCTATGCATTGAATGTTGATACCGAGTTCGGGTCCTGCCTCGGCTATAATGTCACCAAAGTCACCGAGACGGCGCATGGACTGCAGGCTGACCTGAGTATCAATGGTGATGGGTGTCAGGTATACGGCCCTGACGTCGCGAACCTTACCCTGCTAGTGGAATACCAGACAGGTGAGATGCTTTTCAAGGCTATGAGCAATCGATTGCGTTCGTTTGATTAGATGAGGGCTGACACTCGCTGGCCTGGACCTGACAGACTCACGACTTCGGGTGGCAATCCAGGACCGTGAGGGTCTGCGTTTCCAGATCCCAGAAGAGGTGATCCCTCGCCCTGGGATCGCCCCTGGCTCGGTTGCGTCCAAATCTAAGCTCGCCTTTGAGTTCAAGCACAATCCATTCAGCTTCAAGGTGGTGAGGAAGTCCACCGGCGAGGCCCTCTTTGACAGCACAGGGTCGGCCTTCATCTTCGAGCGCCAGTTCCTGCGCCTGAAGACATGGCTGCCAAGTGACCCCAACCTGTACGGCCTGGGGGAGCACTCCGACTCCTTCCGCCTCCAGAACAAGGGGTACAAGCGCACTCTGTGGGCTCGGGACTCGTCCGGGATCCCCTATGGCGAGAACCTGTACGGGACGCACCCCGTCTACGTGGACCATCGCCTTGGCGGCACGCACGGCGTTTTCCTCCTCAACTCGAACGGGATGGACGTCCAGATTGACCAGGATGAGAACGGGAACAGCTATCTCGAGTACTTGGTCATCGGGGGCGTGTTCGACTTTTACTTCCTCGCAGGTCCGGGTCCGGTTGAGGTGGCGAAGCAGTACTCTGATGTGGTTGGACTTCCGGCCATGGTCCCATACTGGAGTTTGGGTGTAAGTTCTTCTGGTCCTGGATCAGATATAACCTTTGGATGGTGCTGTTCTTACTGACTCCCGTTCTCAGTTCCACCAGTGCAAATGGGGCTATCGAGACTGGTTCGAGGTGGCTGAAGTCGTCTACAACTACTCTGTTGCAGGCATCCCACTCGAGTAGGTTGAATCCCCCCCCCAAGCCTCGGTTTACACAGGATTGCTAACGCTTGTGCAGAACTATGTGGACGGATATTGACTACATGGATCACCGACGCATGTTCACGCTAGACAGTGAGCGATTCCCGCTCAGCAAGGTGCGGAATATCGTCGACTATCTACATAGCCGGCAACAGCACTATATCATGATGGTCGACCCAGCCATCGCCCAGTACGACAACTATCCTTACCACAAAGGAGTTGAGATGAACGCCTTCCTCAAGTTTAACGAGTCGTCACTCTATCGCAGTGTCGTGTGGCCGGTATGAAGGGATCCGTATTCGTATGGTTTCTCATGAGAGTTGAAACTGACATGGCTGGACAGGGTGTTACTTTGTATCCCGACTGGCTTAACCCAAATACCACCGAGTACTGGGTTCAAATGTTCCACGATTTCTTCAACCCTGATACCGGTGTCAACATCGATGGAGTCTGGTGAGTGGTACCGACCTTGATGGGTATGATCACCGATTGCAATCTTTCTAACCTGTTTGTTCACAAATCAGGATCGACATGAATGAGCCGGCCAATTTCTGTAGATTCCCCTGCGATGACCCAGAGCAGGCAGCAAGGGATCAGGGCCTGCCTCCGGACCCGCCACCAGTGCGGGATCCTCCCCGCCCTATTCCAGGGTTCCCAGAGACCGAGAAACGCCTTCAATCGAGGGACGCGGACCAGATTTTATTCGGCAACCCAGAGAAATCGACAGGTGAGGTCCAGGAGCAGGATTCCGTGGAACAGAAGGTGCCTAGCCATGAGGGAGATGACCTTCTTAACCCGCCGTATCACATCAACACTCGTTCTCCAAGCGGAGAGCTTAGTGATTTGACACTCCGCACGGATCTGAACCATTCGGGTGGACTGTCGACATATGATACGCACAGTCTATTTGGCGCAAGTGAGTGATAACCTGTACCGATGGCTTGGCTCGTTTTGCCGCTGACACTAACTCCTGCATCTAGTGATGGGAATGGCTACTAGAGAGGCGATGCTCGCCAGACGTCCAGGGCTGAAGCCACTCATCATCTCTCGAAGCACCTTTGCCGGTACTGGACGGTTCATGTCCAAGTGGCTTGGAGACAACGGCTCAGGATGGGATCATTAGTACGCCTTCCCCTCCATCTTGTCCCCTTTCTTCCCTGATCTTTGTTCGAGGTTGTTGGGTTAACGTTTCTGGTGTTGTAGCCGCATCCAGATTGCTGGAATGTTGAACTTTGCCTCCATCTTCCAAATTCCAATGGTGGGAAGCGATGTAAGTACAAGGTTCACCCCCTCTAGATTAATCATTTCTATATCTAACCATGAACTCCTCCTCAGGTCTGCGGCTTCGGTGGTACAGCGACCGAGAGGCTCTGCGCACGATGGGCCAGTCTCGGGGCCTTCAACCCCTTCTACCGCAACCACAACGCCATGGGGCCGAACCAGGAGTTCTTCCTCTGGGGTCTCGTCACCAGCTCGGCAAAGTACGCAATCGAGATTCGATACAAGCTGCTGGACTACATCTACTCGGCCCTGGCCCGGCAGTCGGTGGACGGCACTCCCTCTCTGAACCCCCTGTGGTACATCTATCCCGAGGACAGCAACACCTTCTCCAACCAGAACCAGTTCTTCTACGGGGACTGCGTCCTCGTGTCGCCCGTGACGGACCAGGACTCGACCAGCGTCGACATCTACCTCCCCGACGACATCTTCTACGAGTGGGACACGCGCAAGCCCGTCCGCGGCAGGGGTGAGTGGGTGAACCTCGACTACGTGGGCTACGACCGGATCCCGGTGCACATCCGCGGCGGCTGCGTCGTCCCTCTGCGGGCCGAGAGCGCCAACACGACGACGGAGCTCCGCAAGAAGGGGTTCGAGCTCCTCGTCGCGCCCGGGCTGGACGGGTCGGCGAGCGGGTTCCTCTACACCGACGACGGCGTGAGCCTGGACGGGGGGCCCTGCAAGCACGAGATCTACTACGAGTACGTCGGCGGGAGGCTGCTGACGTCCAAGGTCCAGAGCCCTTCCTCGTCCGCGTGCGAGTCCTCGGACGGCGGTGTCAGGATCGAGAAGGTGACTATCCTGGGCCGCGAGGATATGGGCGACGAGCTGTAAGAGCTGATGGGTGAATTTGGAGACGTTGGCTTTTCTTTTTGGACATTGTCAATATATACTCGGGTCCGACACTATGGCGGTTTGGATGTGGTGTGCTTCCTGTAACTGGTGTATAGATGTTCTTTGCCAGGAACGAATATAAACTCCGTTCTAGTTCTGTTGGAAGTGCTGTTTTAGTGAGAAAGGACATGGAATAGAGTCTCTGTAATGACTGCCATTGAGAGCATAAGCCAGTTCTTTTGATTGCCAGCTTGCCTATGTGAGATTGTATCTTTTGTGCGGGTGGACAGTCTCGCTCACAGACTCAAGCGATCAGAACCTGGACTTGCAGATAGTCCATTTGCTGTGTAATTGTTATTTTGTTTTCATTATTCTTTTGGGACTCTTCCTAGCAATATATTGTTTTCTCAAAATACCACATGTGGTTGATGTATCGAATATCAGCTGAGTGGCCCAAACAGGAACCTTGACTTCATACCAGCCATGTTCGCCTCTTTCTCCCCAAAAATCGGTAAAGATTCGCTAAAAGTACTCATTTCCCAGGACCGATCCCAGATCCAGATCTGTAGCTGCGGTTCTCAGCGGCGAGTGTGTCCGCAGATACATGCCGCATTTTGTGGTTCCCATGACAATCTCGAAGCGTCATCGCCACATCATACACACGACCTGGGTGAAGTCATCGAGGGGGAATCTCGATTTGCGAAAAGAACTTAATAGCAATGTCGGCTCCCAATCAATCCAGATGAGAGAACCTTGTTTCTGCATCTCAAGTAAATCACAAAAATACTACCGAACATATACTCACAATGTACCCAAGAGTGGCAATTACGAAAACCCCAATGCTGCGCGCCGCAACTCGCCAGCCGATGAGCGGCCGCCTTTCTCTCCCCCTTCGAAACACCCGGAACCAGTCGACGGGAAAGGGTGCCTTTAACGGCCCTGGTGGCCAGTCAAGTATCCCGCCGTCGCCGATGGGAGGCAGCGATATCGCAAAGCGGAACTGGTACGTTCTCAAACTCATCCGCGTTGAAACATTCTATTATCCTCGCATCTCTTTTAGATATAACAAGACCTTTGCTGATTGATGTGTCACATTACAGGCGTGCGATTGGCGGTGGCCTCGCGGTGCTGGCAGGTCTCGCCTACTTCATGGGAGGGCGCCCCAAGAAGGATACTCTCGACAAGCAGATGGAGCCGGTCGCGAGGGAGGGAGAACGTGGGCTGAAGAAGCTGGAGGAGCACGCCAGGAACGCTGCCGGCGAGCTGAGCGGCAAGAAACCCGGTGGGATGGGCGGTTTCCGCTCGGAGTGATGCAAGTTGTGGTTTGAGTTATGTGAGGGTGTTGGGTGAAAGATATCCTAGTGGGTTTATTACTGTACAATTATTCTAAAGGCTTGCGCACCGAGGTATTCAAAAAGAAAAAGAAAAATCCAAACGCGATCTATTAAGAAATAGCACCGATGATTATCAATCGATGCCCATCTTCTCCTAATAGCATCTCGAATCATAACAGCCAGCGTATTACTCTACCTTCTTCTCCTCGGGCTTGCTCTCCTCTGGTTTGGTATCTACTGCCTTGGTGTCCACCGGCGTGGCCTCCTCGACCTTCTTCTCCTCTGTCTTCTTCTCCTCTGTCTTCTTCTCCTCAGTCTTGTTCTCTTCTGCCTTGGCCTCCTCAGCCTTATTCTCCTCGACCTTTTCCTCAGCCTTCTTCTCCTCAACAGGCTGCTTCTTCGCTGGCTTCTCCTTCTTCATTAAGTAATCACCACCCTTATAGGCGTGATACACACCATACAGCCCCATCAACCTCTTGCTCTTGTAGAGCCTGGACTTGACCGCGGTCTCGTTCCTCGCCGCCTCCTCGGCCTCAAAGTCGACCTTGACCTTGTCGTACACGTTGGGCAGGTAGCCGGCGCCGTACTTCTCGCGGACGGCGTCGTAGGGCCCGCGGTTGTAGTGCGCCCAGAACTCCTCCTCGGTGTAGTAGGCCTGGCCGTAGAGCCACTTCTTGCCGCCAAAGTCCTGGACCTTGTGCTCCAGCCTGCGGTTGGCCTCCATGGCGTCGCGGCGGGTGCCGTCGACGGGGCCCCAGACGCCGTAGTTGAGGAGCTCCGGCGTGGTGCTGGGGTCGGCGAACTCGGCGTGCAGGCCGTGCCCGGAGTCCGGGTCGTCCCGGCGGATGCGCAGAGGGCAGAGCCAGATCGGGTACATGCTGAGCTGGTCGTCGAGCCACTGGTGGAAGTCCGGGGCGCGGTCGAACGGGACGCCGACGTCCTGGATGACGTGGAAGTCCTGGATGCCGCTCTTGTGCATGGCGCGGAACATGTCGCGGGTGTGCATGAAGCGGTTCAGGGCGCGGCGCGTGACGCTGTTGAAGGGGGTCATGAAGTACTTGAAGGCGTACCGGGCGGTCCAGAAACCGCCGCGGTCGAAGCGGAAGAGGTAGTCCTTGATGGGGATGTAGTCGACGACGGCCTTGCCCTCTTTCAGTGGCTTCTGGACATCCTGTGCGCGGAGGTAGAACCAGGGGTCGCTGGGCTGGGAGAAGGTTATCTGCTTCTGGCCGTCGGGGATCTCGTCGACGAGCACTCCGGAACAGACCACGGTCGAGTCAGTGGCGTAGGAGATGCCATCGAGGAAGTCAACCTCGCCCTTGTCAATCTCCTCTCTGAACTTCTGGCAGTACTCCTTGGCACTCTTGGAGAGGCTGTAGGTGAGAGCCACGTACTTCTTTGCGGGCTTCAACCTGACCTCTACCAGAGTGACCACTCCCACGGTGCCGAAGGCAGATGCAGCGCCCCAGAACAGATCGGGCTTCTCGGTCCTCGAGGCCTTGGAAATGGTGCCGTCCGGAAGGACAATCTCAATGCTCTCCACGGTACAGTCGAAAGCGCCATAGCGGAACGAACTGCTCTCTCCAGAGGTGCCCGAGAAACCACCGCCAACGGTGATGCCGGGCAGCTCCATCACAACCGGGGGCATGAGGCCAACCTTCAAGGTCTCATCCAGAAGGGCGTCGAGAGGCACATTGGGCTCTACGATGGCGGTGGAACGCTCCTTGTCGATGGAGAGGATGTTTGTGAGCTTGCTGGTGTCCACGGTGTTGTCTGCGTTGCGGTGCGACTGGCGGGTGCTGTTGGTTGAGCCATGGTAAATACGGAAGGGCTGCTGGAGCGAGTGGAAGTGCTTGACGCGCTCCGAGACCCTGGTCACGATGGCATTATGGGCGTCCATGGCTGGCTGTCTTCACCTCAAGCCGGGTGATGCTTCAATATCAAAGAAAGCAAGGAAGCTGTGTCTACTGCTGGAATATACAGACGCAGGACGGAGCTACTATTAGCCAGAGGATATTACGGGAAGGAGCGTGATGCCGGTCTGCAAATTAGGGATTTAGGTAAGGGAAACCAAGAGAGTGTAATGAAAACAAAACGAACGACTCTACCACATGGGAATGAGGCTCAATTGATCAGGCCAGTGGCCGTGCAAGCATGAAAATGACGAGGGCGTTCGCTGGGCAGTGCAATGCCGCGTCTCACTAAATTTCAAGGAGCTGACGAAGCTAAAGCTTGGCTCAGGCCCCTGCCGCCGCTGGCCCCAACACCTACTAATCTCCCCGGTGCTATTTGATCACTACGGCGCCTACACTGAGTCCACTGACGGGGCAAAACTCACTGAACAAGCAGCTTCGGTGCATTATGCTTAATTCGACATTCTCCTCGCTGTCACAATTCTCCTCATCTTCGCCGGCATCACTGAAATCAACAAATCACATTCAATGCAAGCAACTGAATAATATTCTAAGTATTCATTTACTGGCCTTGGCAAAACACCCGACAATGAGGCACCAGAAACGCCTATATACAATGACTGACTCTCTTTTGTTTACCCTCGCAACCCCAAATTACTTTTGAGTGAGACTTGATCAAGCCTTCCGTCTTCCCTTGAATCCAGTATGTTGCTTCGGCTGGCTTCCGTACGCCCTCCTGCCCTGCACCTTGTTCCTGCCCATGCTCTGCCCCAGGGTGATGTCCACTCGTGGAGGCGTGGAGAAACCAAAGCTCTTGGCGACTTTGGTGAGATCGAGCTTGTTCACGTCGTACACGGAGCGCAGGCTGTGGCTGGCATACGCGTGCAGATAGGACTTGAAGGCCTCCTTGGCGCTCTGTGAGAGGAAGTAGTTCTGGCCGATCAGCTTCTCCAGCTGGGACTGGACGGGCTTGATCTTCTTGGCGGGGAACTCGAACTCGACGACGGGGACACGGGCGGCCTTGAGGTGAGTGAGGAAGCCGACCTCGTTGGGTTGCAGGAACATCAGACTGCGGCCCTTGTTGTTGGTACCACGGGCCGTTCGACCGACGCGGTGAATGTAATCAGTGGCATTGTCAGGGGGGTCAAACTGAACAATGAAATCGACAGCAGGAATCTGTTAAACTTGATTAGCATCGGCTGTGGCAGGAAAGGTGATTTCCCTTCGGGCAACTTACATCCAATCCACGAGCAGCAACATCTGTGCAGATTAGGATACCGTGGGGGGCATTGCTGAATTCGAAGAAGGTATTTGTTCGCTTCTGCTGCTTCTGCTTGCCATGCAGGTCCAGTACGGGAAGATCAATGTAGTTGAGCAGCTCGGCGTAGTACTTGACTGAGTTACAACTGCTGAAGAAAACAATGACCTTCTTCTTCTTGTCCTTCATCGTCTTCAGGAAAGAGAACAGCAGGACGAAGCGCTTATCGGCCTCGCACAGGACATAGCCCTGCTCTAGGCCCTCAACGGTACTGTACTGCTTTTCTTGATCGACATTGATGTATAACGGCCCGGGGCGCAGAGAGATTCGCGCAAGGTCCTCTATATGGATACAGTGTTAGATGTCTAGGCTTCCAAGTCTGAAGAAGCTGATTTAGTAATAACTTACCAACTTTGGTGGTCTGTGTAGCCGAGAAGAGCATAGTTTGACGGTCTTCGTTCTTCAGAATCTTGACGATCTGCCTCATCTCATCTTCGAAACCAACCTCCAGAATTCGGTCCGCCTCGTCAATGATCAGGGACTTGAGATTCTTGAAGACGAAGGGTGTGTTCATCAGGTGATCCAGAAGCCTACCAGGGGTGGCAATGATCAAGTTGACACCCTTTGACAGCTTCTCAGCCTCTGCTCTGCGGTTTGCGCCTCCAATAACAATGCCATATGTTTGCGAGTGGTTCTTCATGAGTTCGCGGGCGACGCCGAAGATCTGAAGAGCAAGCTCTCGGGTGGGGGATACGACAATGGCACCGGTACCGTTGCGAGGTTTGAAGCGGAGGGAGCTGAGCATCTCGATGGCGGGGATCAGGAAGGCCAGCGTCTTTCCTGAACCGGTCTTGGCAGCACCGAGAACATCCTTGCCGGCGAGAAGGGGCGGGATGGCCTGAATAAAGGATTAGTCGGTTTTCCATCTCTCTTGGTGGCTAGCGGAGAGCGCTTAAGAGCAGTACTTACACTGCGCTGAATGCTAGTCATCTTGGTGAATCCCATCTCTTTGATTGCCTTCATAGTCTTTTCTGACAAGTTCATATCCTCGAACAACTCTGAGTCGGTGCTGGGAGGGAGCAGCGGTGTGTTGTCCTGTGCGAGGTCTTCACCATCGGCTTCGTCTTTATCGTCGCCGTCGTCCTCCTCGTCCTCCTCTTCGTCGCCGTCTTCCTCACTGCCATCCTTTTGGTCCTCTTCCGCATCATTCTCTTCAGGCTCGTTCTCATCGTCCGAAGGAACGTCCTCCTCGTCCTCGTCCTCTTCCTCGTCGCTGGATGGATCGACTACCGGTGGGGGGACCTTGGACTTCTTGGTCTTCTTGGGTGCAGCGACAACCTCCTCGGCATCCTTGAGCTTGCGCTTCTTGTTGAGAGTAGTGGCACCCATTTTGTATCGGCTATAGAGGGTCGGTTGGGGGGGATTGAGGCGGGTTGGTATTGTCGCTAGACTGCAGAGCCGACACTGGGATTGATACTTTTCTCGATAAGAAAAGTTGCAGGCACTTTTTTTTTCTGCTTATCAGCAAAAGCGATATGCTTCAATTGGACCATTTCGGCAATTTAGTGGGGTGGTGTGAAGTGGGGCCCGAGTCGCATTGTACCTCTGTACCTTTTTCTGCATTCTCAATTCTGCTTCTTCATCAACGTCGACTGAACAACTGCGCAAACTAAAGAATGACTGCACTAGTACGAACATGTTTATCAATTGGAGTAGTGAAAAGAAGTCTTGTGTTTTTTTCTCTAATATTTTATACATGATTTTATTATTCAATTAACAAACTATGATATTACTTGGCAAGTAGTG